GGAAGCACAACACAGGTTAAACAGGTCAAGTAATTCACCTATTATCATAGAAAACTAAGACTTCTAAACTATGTCTGTGGGTGAGACAGTGAATGAACATGCTCTTTAGTGACAGAAGTGTTCCATTCTTGACTCTTTGGGAATGGCCTTTATCTTTGTCCCTTAAAAATAGGCATTGTTTGGGAATAAATGTACTCAGATCTTCAATTTGTCCCTAATAAATGGAAGATGGGAGTCATTTAGCCCTCTCCCTCACTGTTGAGTCTGCCTTTCTAGCCTTCTCAAATCCAGAGTTTCTATGTGTCCCTGAGCCTCCTGGGCAGTTACTCTAAGCACACCCCACTTAAGTACAAGTGAGTGCTAACTCCTGCCCTCCTGCTCTGGCATGTGTCTTGTTCCTGGTCTGAGATGTGGTGTGTTCCACCTGCCTGTTTATGCCATCTGTTCCCTTGCAGTAGTCACCGGACACCTCCTGCATGCTCAGGATAAAATTCCTCACTTCTCTTCTCAATCATAGTAACCGTGAGAAGTAGACAGTATTAGGTTGAGAGCTAGCAAGCACAAGAACAAGGAAGTGAGGAAAACAACAGTCTTTTTAGCTTACCTGTAAGAGCTAGGCAAGCTTGGCCGAAATTAAAATACATAACGATATCATCCAGAGAGAGGTGAAAAAGATTGCCTCAGTGAAGGGATCCAGCTCCCCTTAGAAGAATATGCCTTTTAGATAGGGCATTGACAATGACCTCTAAGCACTGCTTGAAAGTGTTCAATCCCTGGGTAAAACTCTGTGACTGTTCAAATTGTGTGGCTGTCATGTCCTGCACATGTAAGTACACAGTTATTGGTGGCCAAGGCACGTGGCTGAGGGTGTCCACAGAACTTAAGGAAATAATATATAAGAAACGAAGAAGCATCCCATTTCCGGCCTTTAGCTTGGGTGATATCAAGGTGGCTGAGAGATCCAGGGTTTGGTGGCTTTTAGTGGAGATGGTCCTGCATTGCTTGATGGAGAGTTTACATTTTGAGAAACCTGTTGCTGGGCAATTTTATCATTGTACAAACATCTTAATATATACCCACAAAATTAGAAGGAATACCCTGCTATATGTCCAAACTGTGTGGACAGCCTATTGCTCCAGGCTATGAATTTTCAAAGCACAATAATTTTTTAAAAATATCTAAACATCTCTAAACACAGAGCATGTACAGTTAAAATGTGTTATAAAAGATGAAAAATTGGTATACCTATACAGGACTTTTCCCATCAAGGGATCTTGCAGGGTTGGGCATTGCTTTGGGTGGATTCAGAGAGTGAGTACTCACTCACTGACATAATGGCCTAGGTCATGGCTGTTGTGTTACTGTAGGCGTTACAAAAAGGAGAATGCATTAGGTTTGGTTTCTTTCTTCCATAATAAACCTAGTTTAATGTTATTTTTTGTTTTATAGACTTCAAAAAACTTATTGGTTCTTTTATAGTAATGCTTAGCTTAAAATGCAAAGACAAAACTTTCTTTAAAAAAAAAGATTCGCAGGGCGGCGGTGGCACACACCTTTAATCCCAGCACTCGGGAGGCAGAGCCAGGTGAATCTCTGTGAGTTCGAGGTCAGCCTGGTCTACAGAGCAAGATCCGGGACAGGCACCAAAACGACACAGAGAAACCTTGTCTCAAAACAACAACAACAACAACAAAAAGATTCAATTTTTAATCGTGTATATGGGTGTGTCTGTGTGGTGTGAGTTTGTGCATGTGCATGGAGGCCAGAAGAGGGTATTGAGTCCCAGGGAACTGGAGCTACAACCTGACATGGGTGCTGGGAACTAAACTTGGGTCCTCTGTAAGAGCAACAGATGTTCTTAACTACTGAGCCATCTCTCCAACTCCTTCTTTTGGTGTATTCTTACTCATGTACTTTTATGTTAAATTTTTTATTTTGAAAGCTGAGGATCTAGCTCTGTTGGCAGAAAACTTGCCTAGCATGTACAAGGCCATGAGTTCAATACCCAGCACCAAAAAGAAAACTATTTTAACTGGAGCCTGATGGTGTAGGCCTGTAATCCAAGCTATTCAGATGAAGGAGGAGGATCATGAACTCAAGGCTGGCCTTTGTTCTTTTGTTAATGGTCAACTGATTATACTTACGTGGGTTTTTCCTGGGCTCTTTATTATGTTACAATGACTTACTTTTCTACTCTTTCACCAAGATCATCTTAATTGCAGCAGCTTTATTGTAAGACTTGATATTGGACAGAGTCCATTTTTAATACCGTTCTTTAGGATTGTGTAAACTTTTGGGGGACTTTTGCCTCTCCATAGGTACCTCAGAACCACTTTTCTGACATACACTTGTTTGCTGCTATTTTTAATTGCACTAAATCTATAAAATTGATAAGTAACTGGTAACTTCACAGCAGTCAATCTTGCTATCCACGACATAGAACACTTCTGCCTTTAGTTCTTTGACTTCATTCATTGGAGCCATGTAGTTTTCTTCATAAAGATTGTGTGTGTGTGTGTGTGTGTGTGTGTGTGTGTGTGTGTGTGTGTGTGTTTGACTTGTACCTAAGTATTTATTTTTGAGGATGTTAATTTAAATATTATGTTTTAATTTTAATTTTTGTGATAATTACTGAAACAGGGATATGATTGGCCTCTGTGTTGACCTTGCAACCTGTAACTATTTGAAAAGTGCTTATCGGGTTCAAGAGCCTTTTGTTCTTTGCTCTTAGTTCCTACACCAACAGTTGGGACATCTTGAAGAAACACAATTTGACTTCATCCTTCTCAAAAAAGTACATTGGTGTATTTTTAGTTATTTATTTGAAACAGGCCTCTCATAAAAGTTCCCCAAGCTAACAGGTTGCACAACTGAATTCTCGTAGAGGGTCTTTCTATGTAGCTAAGGCTGGCCTGGAACTCATGATATAACCCAATCTGGTCTCAAATTCATGATCCTTCTTCCTCAACTTTCCAAACACTGGGGTTACAAATATGCATCTGTATGTATTTATTTTATTTTATTTTTTTGCATTAGCTATGATTTCAGCAATGATATTGTAAAGGAGTCATGGTGAGAAGGTGCATCCTTACCTTGTTTATGATATTAGTGGGAAAGCTACTTGTATTTCACCATTAATATTAGCTAACCAGTTGTGGAGCACTTAGGAACCTGAGGTAGGAAGATAGTCTGAGGCCAGCCTGAGCTACATAGTGACTTAAAGGTCAGCCTGAGCTATATAGAGAAACTCTTGTTAAAACACATTAACTCCCTCCATACACCAAAACCCTGTGTGGAATATTTTTTTATAGACTGTAGAGGGGGAGTAGTTGAAAAGAAGGGAATCAGCTGGAGTCAGAGGAGGACAAAATGGGGAAATAGGGATGAATATAGTCAAAATACATAATGAAAATGTCACAATGAAACCCATTCTTGTGATAATTAGTGTATTTCTTATAAAAAATTTAAAAAGATCTTTGCATGCCATTTCATGTAACTCAGACTTTATCCTAAGGATGGGTACCATGTGCTAGTTGTTAGGTCTTTGGCAACTTCACAAAATGAAGAGGCTGAATTCTGGTCCCTAAACTTTAGTCTGGGAATGTAAAGGTGATATTTTTAGCTTGGACACCTGGTTAATAAGAAGCAGCATGGGCTTGAGAAGGTTGTGCTTATTCTAAAAGCTCACAAGGTAGGGGCGTTTCTCAGTGAAAAGGGAATTTAGCTTTTCCACCCTCTGACTGGGTGGGCTGTCCTTATTTCCATTTCCTTGTCTCCCAAGCAGCCTGTACTGAGCAAGCTCCCAGTTCCCCCCACTGTATATATCTATTGCTCTGTTTGTTGTTCGTTTTCCCCAGGTGCTCTGCTAGTTCAATCTCCTTTCTCCATCCACTCATACCTCAGCCCACTGGTTCTTTGAACATCATTGCTCAGTGAAGGCTCCTCCAGTGCATGGGCCTCATTGACTCTGGTCACTGAATTCCTCATGTTCTATTTTACACTGGTAGTCATAGCCCCTCGCTTTCTGAAAAGCTTATTTTTTTTAGTGCATGACTATGAGATGGCCTTGATCTTACTTACTGATGTATGTCCTAGTGTGTGTGTGTGAGTGTGTGTGTGTGTGTGTGTGGGTGTGGGTGCAGAGCTGGTGAACAGCATGGGATAGCATGGCCCATGACTAAGATAAAATCAATTGGCTTTGAGTTTCTTAAAAGTGAAATTGTTGGGCTAGGGATGTAGCTCAGTTGATAGAGTGCTTGTTTAATAAGCATGAAGTCCTGGATTTGATTTCCCAATATGACAAAAACTGGTTATGATGGTACATGTCTGTAATCAAAGTATTCAGGAGGTGGAGACAAGAGGATAAAAAGTTTAAGATCATCCTCTTTACACATTGAGTTCAAGTCCATCCTGGGATACATGAGACCCTATCTCAAAAAGGAAAAAAAACTGAAAAAGAAAAATTTAAATGTGGGAACTGTTATGGGTGAACCCCATCTAATCTGGTGAACCCTTAAAGGGAATCAAAGAGATTTTCCTGCTCGTCATAAATGAGCAAACAGTGTGCATGCTCTAGAGAGGACCCAGCATAGGGAATGACAGACAGTCCCCAGAAGCTGCTAGCAAGAAGGAGAGATTCCTGTAAGTGTGACAAGGCTAACCTCAAGTATCTGATAAGATGTTGCCATGAACAACACTATGACTCTACCTCAAGACTCCATAAGTTGCTTGGTCCTATGGCCTAAGGAACTCCAATGGGTATAGTTCTAAGCTGGGGGTGGTAGTATTTGTTACTCAATGAAATTAAATATATCTAGTATTCTATATTAATATTGAAGGCCTGTTCTAACTCTTGGATGGCCTGATGTGTCCCTGGTTTTAGTTCCAGAGGTTGGCTACACCTGCTAGGCAGTGAACGCTAGTTCCACAGGGAGCTTGCTGTCTAATGGAGGGTGTCTTAGGGTTTCTATTGCTGTGATGAAACACCATGACCAAAGCAAGCCAGGAAGGAAAAGGTTTATTTAGCTTACACTTCCATATCAGTGAAGGGAGTCAGGACAGGAACTCAAGCAGGGCAGGAACCTGGAGGCAGGAAATGATGCAGAGGCCATAGAGGGGAGCTACTTACTGGCTTGCTCAGCATGGCTTGCTCAACCTGCTGTCTCATGAAACCCAGGACTACTAGTCCAGGAATGGTACCACCCACAATGTGCTGGGCCGTCTCCATTAATCACTATTTAAGAAAATACCCTACAGCTGGATGTTAAAGAGGCATTTTCTCAATTGAGGCTCCCTCCTTTCAGATAACTCTAGCTTGTGTCAAGTTGATATAAAACCATCAAGCATAGAAGACAAAGCTCCAAGCTCTTTTTGAGGGATATTCATAAGAGCATTCTAACTCAAAGTTGCCTTTGTACTACCACCAAGCAGTGCCATTTTGTTTTGTTTTGCTTCAATTTGCATTACTGGTAAAACTAAAATGCAAAATTTTAAATTTGCAAGAGTAGGGATCATACAAAACAGTGGTCAATGGAAATAATGACTTTGAAATAGAGCAAAATTGGCTGGGTGGTGGTGGCGCACGCCTTTAATCCCAGCACTTGGGAGGCAGAGGCAGGCGGATTTCTGTGAGTTCGAGGCCAGCCTGGTCTCCAAAGCAAGTTCCAGGAAAGGCGCAAAGCTACACAGAGAAACCCTGTCTCGAAAAACAACAACAAAAAAAGCAAAAGAAACCAAACAAACAAACAAAAAAGAAATAGAGCAAATATAGGATTTGTAGTTATTTGCAAAAATATGCCACACTTTGATCAAAATTCCATTATACAATTCCAAGTTATGTTTAATATAGGCTTAAACATGGTCTAAGGATGGATCTGTGAGATGACTTAGTAGGGTAAAAGTGCTTCCTAAGACAACCTGAGGACCCAAGGTCCATCCCCAGAACCCACACGGTAAGAGGAGAGAGCTGACTCCTGAAAGTTGTCCTCTGACCCCGACGTGTGCTGTGTCACATGTATCCACACATACACACAAAAGTAAACACACCCTAACTACATAAATGTATTTATGTTATATTATATATGGATAAAATTGAGAGGGAGAGGGAGAAGGAGAGAGAGAAAGAGAGAGTGTGTCCTGAGGCCCCTTCAGATAAATAGCAATTCTCCTTTCTGCTCTAGCATCTTCCAGAGAGGCCAAGGCTGGCCTGGGGTCTCTGGCTTTTCTTGGGTTTGGGGCAGGGATAGCATCTCAGGTCTATTCTCTTTTGTGGTATTCTCATGCCTGTCCTTTCATAGGTACCATATACTCAGCATGCCCCACTTTTCTTCTGTCCTATACTGAAGGAAAAACTACCTCCATCCATCCATGGGACCCAAACAAAAACCATAGCAACCATCTTGGATGACTCACATTCCCAGTCTCTCTATCCTGTGAGTTTCCTCTTAATTATTTCTCATATCCACAAGCCACCACACTGCATGATCAAATGCAGAAATGCTTACATTCTGTGCATTCCATATTAGGGTAGAATACTGATCAGCTTTAAGAAGGATGGAAATTCTGATCCATGTTTCAGGGTGAGTGAACTCTGAGGACATAATATGACAAATAAAAGCACTAAATTCTAGCCACTAGAACCTAAGGATAACTACAGAATGCTAAATGAAAACACACACACACACACATGCTGTGGGATGGTCTGTATGTCAAATGTGTTGCTGATTGGTCAATGAATAAATCACTGATTGGCAGTGGCCAGGCAGGAAGTATAGGCGGGACTAACAGAGAGGAAAATTGAGAGAACAGGAAGCTGGGGAGAGAGACACTGCCAGCCGCCATGAGGACAAGGAAGATGTAAAGTACCGGTAAGCCACAAGCCACGTGGCAAGGTATAGATTAATAGAAATGGATTAATTTAAGCTGTAAGAACAGTTAGCAAGAAGCCTGCCACGGCCATACAGTTTGTAACCAATATAAGTCTCTGTGTTTACTTGATCGGGTTTGAGCGGCTTGGGACTGGCGGGTGAGAGAGATTTGCCCTGACTGTGGGCCAGGCAGGAAAACTCCAGCTACACACACACACACACACACACACACACACACACACACACACACACCTGATTCCAGTTATATGAGGTACTTGGAATAGTTAAAACAACCCAGACAAAGTAGAATAATGGTTTTGAGGTTTTGGGGGAGGGGAAAATAGAGGTATTTAATGGGACCGAGCTTCAGTCCTACAAGGTAAAGGAAGAGTATGGATGCTGGCTGGTAGGGATAGTTGTACAACATAAATGTGTTAAGGTCATTGAACTGTAAATTTTATGTCTTATGCTTTATCACAATAAAACGATGGAGACATTTTTTAACGTGGTGACATAGGGTGAAGAAAACACCTGTTATTACTACCATGGGCAACCTCCATGACATCTGTAAGGATTCCCAGAGCCCTGACTGCAAAACACAGCTAAAGTTAGAAGGGTATGGGAGGGGCTGGAGAGATGGCTCAGTAGTTAAGAGCACTGACTCCTCTTCCAGAGGACCTGGGTTCAATTCCCAGGACCCACATGGCAGCTCACAACTGTCTGTAATTCCAGTTCCAGGGGACTCGACACCCATGGAAAAAATAATGCACATAAAATAAAATTTAAAAAAAATTAAAAGAAGGGTATGGGAGAGGGTCATGCTTTCATCCTATAATGTAGGAGGAAAAGGCCTCATCAGTTTGATGACTTATTGTATTTAATTCATGTTCTGGATTCATTTTTATCCAATAGCTACTCTAAAACTTCACATGATTAAAGGCATTCATGGTTAGCAGACCAGAGCATCTGTAGATGCCTGCCTCCTTCTCAGTCTCTTCCATCTTAGCTGAGGTGAGAGTTCCTCTTGCAGGCCATTTTCTCAAGAGGTAAAAACCCGTTGAGGCATTTCTGCAGCCACACTGGAGACACCTGGCTGAGATGTCTGCCCCATAGTCTCCTTCTCAAGAGGTGCTTTGTCTTCCTGCAGGGCTGGGGTCTTGTTTGAGGAAAGAGCTTCGGGGAGCAGTTCCTGAAGAGAAAACACAAAGGAGAGAAGGTGTTTTTGGAGATTAAACACAGGGATAGCAAGAACACACAACTGCTGTTTTTATGCTGGACACCCACAAAGAACAAAGCTAAAATCAACCTACTGCAGAGACCCGTGAGATCAAACCTGCTGGGATCAAAGCGGTGCACAGGGACTCAGCAGCCTGCAGGTAAAACCTCATGCAGTGCACTCTGGACTCTACAAAACATCAACTGCAATGTTCAGCACACACATAGAAATTACTAGACAGATGAAGAAGGAGGTGAATATGAGCCATTAACTTCAAAATGTCACAGATGATGGGAATAGCAGAGAGGGACTTAACGTAGTCTTAAATACTTTCAAAACTCTAAGGGAGAAACACAGACATAATAAGTAAAAATTAAGGTAGATAGTCAAGAAAATGGAAACAGGAATTCTAGAGTTGAATAGTATAGCTGCACTAAAAAAAAAAAATCATAGAGGGGTTGGGGAGATGACTCAACCAGTAAAGAGCTTGCTGTGTAAGTAGGAGGACATGTTTGATCCCCAAAAATGAAGTAAACAACAACAACAACAAAACCCAAAAGGGCATAGTGGTGTGTGCTTGTAATCCCAGTGCTGGGGAAGCCAGCACAGGTATCCCTGCAACTCACTGGGATGATCATCATTAAGCCTAGCCTAATCATTAAGCTTTAGGGCAGTGAGAGGCCCTGCCTCAAAAAACAAGATGAGGACTAGAAAGATGACTTCGTAGTTAAGGGAACTTGCTGCCCTTGCAGGGGACCTAGGTTCAGTTCCCAGCACCTACATGGATGTGCACAAGTATCTGTAACCCTAATTTCAGGGGATCCAACACCCTCTTCTGGCCTCCATTGGTCCTGTATGTACATGGCACACTTATACACATGTACACAAACATATATACACATAAAATAAATATAAATAAACCTTAAAAAAAACAACCAAAAGACAAGATGGATGGCACCTGAGACTGACCCCTGACTTCCACATGTATGCATACATACATAGTCACTTATACACAAAAGGCAAAGAAAATAATCATGGAAATTCCTAAATAGAATGCTGACCATGACAGAGTAACAGAAATGATCCAACCTGAAGTTGAGGGAAAAGCTGCTGAGAATAAGTGACTTGATTATTTAATGCTCTATCACATCCTCCAAGGCAGCAGAGCGGGTAGAAAGAATGTAAGATCAGAAAGAAGGGGTGGAACATTGTAGAACACTGTCTTCTGGGCATGATATCCCCAGAAAAAAATGATGAGAGGGTGGAAGAGATGGTTTGGTAGGTAAAGCATCAGGTCCTCATCTCTTCCATCTCAGTCGTTCAAAGAATAAACCCTGGAGGGTGAGCTCCCTTTCATGCACGTTCAACCTTTAATATTGCAAAATGTGGCCAACTACAAAGTACAAGTTTCAGACCTACACAATAGGGTTACACAAAAATATATTGCAATATATTCACCCGTATTCATAGTTACTTTGGAGTGCATGGATTGGACTCATGGGATTGTCAAAAAGTACTATCAAACCAACTTCCTGATGGGTATGGTAGCTTGTGATTGTAATTCTTAGCACTTGGGAGGCTGACGCAAGAAGATTGCAGTAAGTTCTTGGGCTACATAGTGAATCTCTCTCTTTCTTTGTTCTAGGGAATTGAACCCAGCACTCGTACATACTAGCTGATTCTCTAACACTGAGTGATATGGTCTCACCTCTTTAGGATTTTTATTTGCCCAGGCTGGCTTTGAATTTACCTTATAGTCCAGGCTTCTAAATCTGGTGTATCTTCCTTTCAATTGACAAGACATTCAGCCTTACAAAATAAGCCCACTGGTTATGAGAGTGTATTAGATTGCTGAGTATCTTAGTATCAAATGTAAATAAGCTCAGTGTCTTCTGAGTTGGCTTTGGGACAGCAAAGCTGGTGAATGCAGAGGACCTCACTAAGGATATTAAGGACATATTGATGATGTCTAAGGAGATATTGATGATTAAGAAGACATCTGGGGCCGGGCGGTGGTGGCGCACGCCTTTAATCCCAGCACTCGGGAGGCAGAGCCAGGTGGATCTCTGTGAGTTCGAGGCCAGCCTGGGCTACCAAGTGAGTTCCAGGAAAGGCGCAAAGCTACACAGAGAAACCCTGTCTCGAAAAACCAAAAAAAAAAAAAAAAAAAAAAAAAAAGAAGACATCTGGGGTCAATCCCAATATTACACTTAAGAGAGTTCTCTAACAAGGTACTGTGTGAAATGGTGCAATTTTTAGAAGTTTGTAGAAGACTGTGGAAGACTAAAGTTCTGCTTGCCAAACCGAGGAAGACAGAGTTGCTTTCAACCCTTTGGAGTCAATAACTGATGTTTGTAATAATATAGTAGAGGGCACACATAAATACTCATAATCGAAAGATAAAATGCTAAGTAGAATGCTTTATGTAATATATGCATTGAGAATTATATTTGGTCTCTGAGAAATATGGAATATTTTTAAAGGGCTTCAAGGAATTTGAAAGAAAGAATATTTTAAATCTGAAGTCTTTAAAGCCAGTCATATTCACATTCATGACATTTTCTGAAATCTAAGGTAAATTTGCCTTTTTCATTTTTCTTTTGCCGAGTATTTTATGGACAAGATGTCAATGAGCCTGGCTTATGCCTGCAGTGCAGCTGTGAGGGACAGGCTGGCCAAGGGTAGCCTCAGTGTGCTCTGTCCAGTGCCAGGTGACTTGAGAATTTCCTGGAAACCCTGCCTCAGGGTGGCTGAGCTGGATTTTCCTTCTTCCCTCCTACCTGGTGACACTTGTCACACCTCTGCTGAATCTGTTCTTCCTCTTGTTTCACCATTTCGGCCATTCTCCCTTCCTTGAGGCTCCTGCCGTACTCCTCCTTCAGCTGTGCCTCCTCTTGCCTTTTCTGGGTAATATGACAGAGACAAATCAGGTGCCACCCCTTAGACAGGAACCCTCCTTTACCTGAGATAGACCTGGACCTACCAGGCCCACTGAACTGCTTCCTATTATAAGGATTAGCTAGCCTGCAGCTCCAAACCCAACTCTAAACTCTCTGAGCTAGATTCTCTCCTTACCCTCAGAGTCCTCATACATCAGAGCTAGCTGGGACTAAGCAATCCTCGCATGGTGGATGAGCCAAGAAACTTTCCAGGGCAGCTCAGGACTCTGCCTTGGATGTCGAGCTGTTCTGAGCAAGCCGCCCTCCCAAGCAGGCCCAGTTCACAAACACACCTTTTCTTCAGCATTAGTCACATCCCTATAATGGTAAAGCCAGTGAGCCAAGTACTCTATTGGGTCACTGGGCCGCACGCTTGCCACCTCTGCCAGTGCCTGGGTCAGGTTGTTTCCAAAACACTTCTTCAGGTAGGCAGTTTCCATGCTGCGGACCTGGGAAACACCAAATCAGACACTCCATTTTACAAATACGATCCGCCTTTTAAAACAGGTCCATTCTAACAACAGATTTGTTCCAGGACAAATGTGAGGTAATTCTGGATCACACTTATGGTAGTTTTCCATTACAACGACACAATACTTCAGATCATCAAGTACAGACAGAAAAGCTTGTTGTGGCTCTGTAACCATTTGGTCCCATCACTCTGGATCTTATAATGAGGCCAAACATTGTAAGAGAGGGTACATGGTAGGTATGAGTAGCTCACTTCAGGAAGGGTGGAAAGGAAAGAGGAAAAGAGGAAGGGAGGGACACATACTCCAACCCCACACACGAGAGAAGAGGGGGGGAAGAGAGAGAGACACGGGGAGGGGGGAACTCCTCTCCAAGGGTGTGACCCCAATGACCTAACTTCCTTTCACTAGGCTGCCCCTGCTACAGACTGCTATTTCCCAATATTGGCACAGCCCCACAAACAAGCCTTTAGCATATGACCCTTTAGGGGATGTTTAAGATCGGATCACAACACTCTGCCCCTGGCTCCCAAAGGTGAGTACTTACCTCACCATGAAAAATATATTCAGTAGATCTTCAAGAGTCCCTGAAGTCTTTTGCTGTTGATTTGGGGTTTGTTTTTTGAGACAGGTTTTTGTAGTGTGGCTCAAGCTGTCCTGAACTTGCCATCCTCTTGCCTCAGTCCTCTGAGTGATGGAACTACAGGCATGTATGACTGTGCCTAGCACTGAAGTCTTTAATAGTCCCAGAACTACTCAAAAGTCAAAGTCCTAAGTCTCCTGTCAGGGAAAACTCTAAGATATGACCCTCTGCAGAAATCAAAAGAAGTGGGCCAAGGTGGCTCATGTCTGTAATCTTGGCTCTCTTGAGGCTGAGGCAAGGGGATAAAGAATTAGAGGCAGCAGAGAAGCTTCTGCCTGCAGTGGGCAGTGGCTAATACAGGCTCATGACTGGTCCAAGTGCTGCGAATAAGTGTCTATTGAGTGTTCAGTCCTACATGGGACATCTGTATCAATCCTCACCCCAAGGTTCAAGGAACATAATAGAAGAGGGATGGAAAGAATTTAAGAACCAGACGGTGGGGATGAGTGCTGTGACATGCTGTCTTCATTCTATGACTCGGCATGAACTCACTGCAGCTATAGCTACCTATGCAAGATCAAATTAGCACAACCAGCCACTATCCCAACAGGCAGCAGCAATTAGACTCAATGGGCTATTAGTCAGACAGCGAGAGGAGAGAACTGTGCCGGAGGCATACAGGAGGAGTCGGAGGAGGAATTTGTGCTAGATATAATCAAAATGCATTGATTAGATGTGTGAAGTTGTCAACAAATAAATAAATGATATTCTGTTAAAAAAGAATTTGAAGCCAGGTTGAACAACAGAATGAGACCCTCTCTCAAAAAAAATTGAAAGAGCAAATTATTAATACATATTTCTGAGAAAAAAATGGAGGTCAAGCCTGATGGTGAAGGCCTAAAATTCCAGTTACTGAGGAGTCTAGGGCAAGAGGATCAAAAGTTCAAGGCCTTCTGGGTGGCAGACCAAGTTCAAGTCCCTTGGCCATGTTCAGACTACTTCTTTCTCTCTCTGCTCTGGACTCTCCAGATGCCTCTGGCTGTTCTCTCCTGCCCATTTACAATAAAACCCTCCTCTTAACTACATCAAGTAATCGTATTGTCAATTTATTTACTTATTGGTACTCTGGTCTTCTGAGCCCTTGCCAGAACTGCCCATCGAGTTCTGCTTCTTGTAACATGAATCTTAAAAGGTCTTATAATAAAAAACCCAGAGCCAGATATCAGAGTGAAAGCTGAAAGATCAGAGAAGCAGAACAGTCAGCCACTAGTTCTTAGCTCTACGAAATCCTCAGTCTAAAGAGAGTGAGTTCCTGTTTCCTCATGCCTTGTATACCTTTCTATGTCCTGCCACATTACTTCCTGGGATTAAAGGTGTGTGTCACCACTGCCTGGCTCTGTTTCTCTCATGTAGCCCAGTGTGGCCTTGAACTCACAGAGATCCAGATGGATCTCTGCCTCCCAAGTGGTAGGATTAAAGGTGTGTGCCACCACTGCCTGACCTCTGTGTCTAATTTAATGGCTGTCTCTCTCCTCTAATCCTGAGGCAAGCTTTATGGGGGTACACTACAGCTTATAGTATTGTAGGCTGGCTTCTCCAAATTTTTCAAAATTCCTTCCACAAATTCCCAAGATTTCTGAAGTACTTTATCAAGTAATCAAACGAATGAGCCTAATTTCATGGCACCAATTTCCATATTAGTAAACTCTCTGTTGTTATAACAAAATGCCTGAGATAATCAACTAAATGAGGCAGTGTTTACTTTTGCCCATGACTTTGGATGTCTCAGGTCATAGTCATTGGCTTCATTGGTTTTGGGCCTCTGGAAAGGCAGAGAGAACTTCAGGGTAGGGAGGAACACATTAGAACAAAGCTGCTCACCTCATGAAAGTCAGGAGAGAGGGAGGAAGGGGTCAGAGTCCCACATTTCCCTTCAAGGGCATGCCTCTGGTGATGCACCTTCTTCCTATAGGCCCTACTCATTAAAGATTCCATCAGCCTCCAACAGCGCTACATGTATAAACTGACCACATGGCAGTTCCGTGGTATGGTTAAGGGGAAGGCTTTTATTGTAGATATGAGAGAGAGAACAGCCAGAGGCATCTGGAAGAGTCCAGAGCGGGGGTTCAGAGGCAGAGAAAAAAGTAGACTGAACATGGCCAGCAGACTGGACCTGACCAGGAGAGAAGCAGGAGCAGATCAGAGGGGAGGAGCATGGCGGGAAGGGGGAGGGGGACAGAGAGAGCATGTTGAAAATAGCAGAGTTGTAAGAAGAATGAGTAGGTGCGGGGAGGGAAGCCCATGAGCAGGAGGGAGTAGGGGAGGAGGTGAGAAGAGCTACTTTGAAACAGGTACCTGCAATTCTTTGGTATGCTAATAAGCACTACAGGAAGCCTTTTAAGACGTCCCTTCTGCTAGTGATATGGGAAACAGCTTTGCCTTCACAAGTTCCTGAGAAATGTTGGCTTTTATCTAACAACCATCAGAAATCCTCCTGGAGTCCAAGTTGAGCCTGTTTCTGGATATTTGGACTGCCTTTTGGAGTTTGAAACACTGGATTTTCATTTGGAACTAATACTACAGACTGGCAAACTAGCCTTCAGCATGTGGCTTTTGGGGGTCATTTAAGATCCAACCATAGCACTACCTTTCTGAAAAGAACCAACCAAATTGCACTTGCCAATAGCCGCTGCAGTCAGGTAGGCTTCTTTCCTAAGGCTTTGCAGCTGGAATATGTCAGACCACACGTCCTAGTGGTCATCAGTCTTGAGAGGCTTGGCCCTAGATTAGTAAAGGGTGGTGAAGGTTTTTAACTAACCCATATTTGCCCCTAAGTACAGAGAAACTCTGGGTAAACAGCAAGCTGTGCTATTGTGATGTTGGAAGCTAATCTATGACATAGACAACAGAGGCTCATTTACTTTATAGGGAGAGAGAAGGAAGAAAGCAACTGCTGATACGCTATCCCACAACATCACTTTAGGTGGAGATGATGCTCCTAGATTTCCTAACAGGTGTCAAGAGTGACAGATAATGCAGCTTGAGACTGAATGCCACATTGGGAGCAACAGTGAACCAGAGCAGAGTCACAGCAGCGCAAACATCTGTACCAGGCCTGTTGTTGACACTTAACAGCTCTGTGATCTTCAGAAAGTTGCTTGGTGTCTCAGAGTCTTGATGTTCTTTGGAAAACAGAAATAAAATACATTCCTCATAATATTGAAAGGACAAATTGAGCTACTAATCACATGAAAGGTATCCAGCCTGGCACACAGCAAGAATTTAATAAACATGAGCTATGGAACAAGATGTTATCAACATATATCCTTAGCACCTAGCCTCCATATTCCCATTTTCAGCTTAAGGATGGATAAATAGACATATTGGTATAGAAAACATATATATGTTCTACCACTCATTACTATCAGAGTCTAGAAACCCAAACATTCCAGAAGCAGTGTACACTCTGAGCACACTTGTATTTATTTGTATTTCCTTTTAAAAATGAGACAGAGTCTCACTATGCATAGGCTAGCCTGCAACTCTCTAAATAGTCTAGGGTGGCTTTGAACTTGTACTTCTTCTGCCTAAGCCTTCGTAGTGATGAATGAGAGGTATGCTCCACTACACCCAGCTTCAAAGGGGAATTAAATATTGTTCATTGCTTAAGGGACCAGAGATCCTTAAAGAAGAGGTTGTTTCCAGTGTTGGGGCAAAGAAAGTCTAACCAGCCAGAGACAGTTATGCCAGAAAGTAAGAAAACTCTAACAAATTAAGTGTTTGTGTTCACAGGAGCCATCTGGAAGGCTTGTTCCAGTACTACATTCTTGCTCCCAATGGCATCCATATTCTCACACCTGGAACCTGTGAATGGTACCTTATACAATAAAAGGAGCTTTGCAGTTGCGATTAAGGATCTTGAGATAGGGATTGTATTACACAAGCAGGCCATCTTAGTTACTTTTCTATTGATATGAAGAGACACCATGACCAAGACAACTTATAAAAGAAAGCACTTAATATGGGAGCTTCATAGTTTTAGAGGGTGAGTCATGACTATCATGGGGGCGGGGAGCATGGCAGCGGGCAGAAAGGCATGGTGCTGGAGCAGTAGCTAAGAGTTTACTTCTTACCTGCAAGTTGGAGGTGTGTGTGTGTGTGTGTGTGTGTGTGTGTGTGTGTGTGTGTGTGTGTGAGAGAGAGAGAGAGAGAGAGAGAGAGAGAGAGAGAGAGAGAGAGAGAGAGAGAGCCTGCTGTGGGCTTTTGAAACCTCAAAGTCTATCTCCAGTGACACACTTTCTAAACAGTTACATCAACTGGGGACCAAGCATTCAAAGACATGAACCTATGGGGACCATTCTCATTGAAACCACCACACAGGCAGAGCTGTGATTGCCAGGGTTGTCAGAAAGGCCAGGTGTGGAGGATGGCCCAGTGACAAGACAGAAGAAAGAAGCAGCCTAAGATTCAAGATCATGTGCAAATGATTCAAGATCCAGAAGACAAAGGAAACAAAACATCCAGAGGGGTTAGTGCTGTATACATTTGGGATTAAAGCCACTAAGTTTGGGATAGGTGTGGAGGCTGGGGGGTTGGGGCAGGTCATGCTCTCTTTGTGCCAGTAGATAAACCATCTTCCAAACCCCTGCTGCTCTGTGATCTGATGACAAATTGTTGATGGGCTTGGTGAAATGCAACTTCCAACATCTCAGATTCAAGACATATGTATCCTGATAAAATCTCCAGTGCAATTCCTAGCCACTGACCTACGCCTCTATCAGTGTAGAATCCTGGCACAGAACCACCAATTGCCTTCCCAGGACACATCCATTCCTGGGTCATTGAGTGACTGCCACACTGATAAAAAGTGACAAGTCCTATGAAGATACTATCCCTGACCCTTGGCACACACTAAGTACTCAGTAAATATGTCTGAGGGTTCTGATGCTAGGAACAGCTATACTTTGTTGACCCATCAGTGCCTCTTCTTGCATTTATGGAAGCCTCTATCAATGAGCAATGCCATGGCCACATAAGTTAGAAGAGAACATGTAGAATCCTGCCAGCCCCCCCAATATGGTCCACACACCACCAGGCTTGTGTCCTAGTTTGCTTTTGCTTTGATAAACACCATGGGGTTGGGATGGGGCAGCTGAGGGTGTTATTCGGCTTACAGGTTACAGTCAGTCCATCATCAAGGGAAGCCAAGGCAGAACTCAATGCAAGAACATGAAGCAGTAACCCCGAAGGGGATACTTCTTACTCGTTTGCTTCCCCAGGATGACTCAGCTACCTTTCTCACACAGCCCAAGTCCACCCAGGGATAGGCACTGCCCATGGTGGAATGGGTCAAGAAAATGCCTCACAGATATGCCCACAGGTCAATACGATGGAGGCAATTCTTCATTTGAGATTTCCTCTTCCCGGGTATATCTAGACTTTTGTCACATTGACAAAAACTAACAGGCATTTAGGGAAGAGTGCAAAGGAGGGCCTGGTGGAGGGTGTCTTTGGGCAACCTGGAGTTGCCTGTGCATGAGTAGGCTCTGAAAGGCGTCTTAAAACTACCAAGCCAACGAGTGACTGTCTCCCAGGAATCAAAGGGTCTCCCCTGACTTTCAAAGACCTGCTGGTTCTCAGGGCTCCTATCTAAGGGTCCCTGCCCCTCAGTCTCTGTCTCTCGGAGTCTGCCAGGTTCCATCGCTCTGTCCTGATGCTCCTCCTTGGTGCTTCCCCACCGCAAATCTAGTTCTCCCATATGCATGCCCCCCCCCCCCCCCCCCGCCCAATGGCGCGTTCCCGGCCCCTTGGTGAGCGCGCCCCCTCCCCTCGTGTGTGTGTTCCCATTCCATTTCCCTTCGCCGCCACGGCATCCCTCAGGGATGGATTTCTAGCTGTACCAACAAGCGTGCACTCGTTGCCAGGCAACGGGACGCGACTCACCGGCAGGTAGCAGGAACGTGAGTCAGTTGCAACAGCAAGGAAGCTGGAGCAGTGTCCTTAGACCTGACCCTCTAGTGTCTCTGCAGAAGCGATTCTCAAATTTACACCTTGCGAGTCTTGCGGGTCTCACCCCGAAGGCTGAGGGAGCGTTAGTTCTCTGGTAGGAGCCTGGGTGACTCCTTCTCCACCTTCCTCGCTTCCGGCTCCTCCTCTTTCTCTTACTCCTCCCCCTTCTCCACCCTCTAGCCACACAATAGGAAAACTAAGGTAAGTGTCTAGGTTAGTGGCTGCCTGGTTGAATTTTATTTTCAGGTAAACTGGTTACTTTCTAGCATAAACATAGCATAAGACAATTATTCATCGTTTCTCTGAAATTCAAATTGAACGGGGTCTGCTGTAGTTTCAAGTGTTGAATCCAGCGCTGCTGCCCAGGTCCCCTCTCTCCCAGGCCCTGGCAGAGGACCTCCTTCATGAAGTGACTCACAGCTGCTACTCCAGGCTGGAGGCAGCTGACTCTGTGAGAAGGGACTTTCTTCTGTGGAGCTGGATGCATACTGGTGTTTGTTGGGAAATAACATTTCTTAGGGCAGAAGAGACGGCTATTATTTTCTCACATGGCCAGGAAATAGGTGTTACAGAGATGACAGAGGACCTCATGCAAGCCCCAGTTGAGAATGCTAAGCAGCAGCCAGAAAACCCAGATAGACCCTTGCCAACTCCTAAATAAGAGTTCTCCCCTTACAACCATTGTCCCTTTCCAAGGTTGCTTGTTTCTGGAGTATCTACCATGTTTTATGTAACTGAACTTAAAATGGCATTGAGATGTCCACATGGTGAGTTTATCTCTGGAGGATTTCCCACTGAAGAAGCACAGTGGAGACACAGTTCAGTCAGTTACCATAATACTTCTCTCTATGTGGTTAGGACACCAATGGCAACTTGGTAGGAGATCAGCTCGCCAGTTCTTAGGGCTACACTTACACATACATACATTCCTTTGGTGACAGAAGGAATTTCTGTACTACCCTTCTCCTTCTGCATCGTGAGTCACTAGGGAACCACTCTCCATTTTAGAGAGCATTTCCATTCCCTTATATTATCACAATACTCCACAGTATGGTATACCAGTCTGACTATGGTAATAATGGTGTGAACGCTGCATTCACATGTCATTTTACAGTCTTGAGACTGCACCTTTGAGACAGGATTAAAAAATAACAAAGGTGAACATATTGTGATACTTCTAGATGTTTCCACATCACCCTCAACAATGTCAGTTTTGCTCTCCCATCACTATTGCAGGCCAGGGTAGTGTCTACAAGAGGCAAAGATGCCTTGATCCAGAGGCAAGTCTTGACACGCTGGCACTCTGTCTCCTCTGGCTGCTAGAGTTCTTGCTTCTCTTTTTGCCTAACGAATTTCACTGTTTCTTCAGCAAACTTGAGCTTAGCTTAAATATCAGCTTCTCACAGAAGGTTTTCTTGGCTTCCCTGGCTTGTCAGCCCCTGTTGTCTGCTATTAAGGGAACGTATTTCAGTTTTAATCTTGTATTTACTGATTTGTCATTAATATTATCTCCTCTACTTATTTCCATGCCATATGAAATCTGAGATAGTCTATAGGTCCAAATGCAGATGTTTAGAAGGCAACTGACAGACACATCACATATGTCTAATGAAGCAATATGAGTAACCTTCCCACTGGGACATATATTCTCACCTTAGCTTCTGTGGGAAACCCCAATGAACTCATTGGGTCACAATACTGAGCTTGGGTAGAATCATTTGTTTGGCCTGTTATTGTCCACCTGCTTATTCTTCTGGGGTAAATAGAAATAGTCAACCCAGAAAAGGCCATGCAGCAGTCTTCATATCTGAAAAGACTGAGAAACAGTTGAGAGTGGGCACAAAGTTGCTCACTTGCCACCATAGAGAGATGGTGGTGTTAGCCCTGTGACCAAAATAATCTTTGGGAACCTAGAGGAGTCTGTCTTCTAGAAGAAAGACAGACACAGGTGCACAGTACGCTTGCATACCTCTCTCTCTCCCTCCCTCCCTCCCTCCCTCCCTCCCTCCCTCCCTCCCTCCCTCCCTTCCTCCATTTCTCTCTCTCTCTCTCTCTCTCTCTCTCTCTCTCTCTCTCTCTCTCTCTCTCTCTCTCTCTCTCTCTCTCTCTCCTCTCCCCTCAGGCAGCATGACAAGGGCTGTACGAGCTACTTGAAGCAGGAGGAACCCCCTTGTACTGGTTGACAAAACTTAGAGAGCCGGAATTGGTCTGTGCCTTGAAGGCAAGGAGCTCTGCTCCAAGAATAGAGGGAGGATTATGGAGATGGAAAAGTGCAGGGTGTGGTGTGTAGAATGGGAGTAAGAGCCTAGGGTATATGATGACAGGCAGGTGCTTGAGGTGAGCCTAAAGTTTATGGCCAGATTATGAGTAACCTCATGCTGTTTATTAGAATATGAATTTGTATTCTCTGGCTTTGACAACACATGATTTCTTTAAGAAGAGTTGGACAATTTGTGTTGTTTTATTGAAGTGCTTAGGAGAAGCATCTCAGAGTCACTAGAGTTAAGGCCCTGAGGTCAAGGAGTAGATACAAACCCTACATTCATCTGCTAACCAAGTCCTCTGGGCTGTTTATTTAAGCTCTTTGAGTCTGGTTCCCTATCTGGCCACTGCCTGGGATGTTGTATGTGTTAACTGGCACCAGCATTACTTGGCACATTGTGATGAATAATGCTAGTGTCCAGTTCTGACTCTGGGACTAAACGAGAACCTTCAGGATGTAGAAGATATTTTAGTTATGACTTCTGCAGAGTATTTTGTAGACCATTTGGAGTTTCTTGGGGCCAGCTTGCTTATGTCATCCTTAATGAGAAGAACATTCCACCATGACTAGTGACAGTGACTCTTTTTTTTTGGGGGGGGGAGGGGCAGGGTTTCTCTGTGTATCCCTGGCTGTCTTGAAACTCACTCTGGCCTTCAACTCAGAGATCTGCCTTGCCTCTGCCTGCCTCCAGTGTTAAGGGATTATAGATGAGTGCCACCACTGCTTAGCTTGACTTTACTCTTAACCATGCCTACTTAGAACATTTTTGACTCTAATGAAAAACTTTTGTAGATTATTTTATTTAGGAGTTAGAAATGGAGTCGATATACCTTCAGAGGTGCCTGGGGACATGCCTAACTCAAGGCCTCGCAGAGGTGGCAAGAGTTCGTCCAATGGATCCAATCGAATATTTAGCCTTGTGGATTTATAAGTACAAGGAAAATGTGACCATGGAGCAATTGGTAAATATGGATCTCCTTTTAGGAAATTAGAAGAGCATGATAATTGGGTCATCTTGTCTATAATTTTATGTTCAATTTTGTTTTTCTATTATAAAAATCTCTATTATATAAACACTTGGGACAATATGTGAATGTAGAGAGCAGAGAAAATGGAAAGAAAGCTTCAGTTTTAATTTTAAATATTTTATTCCCAGTATTGTCTTTTTCTGACATGTTTGTCTGTAGATTGGTTTTCTTTTTCTACTTTTTTTTCTTTGTATTCAACATATAATCTCAATTGTGCATTCTTTGTTTGGCTAAAGCATAAAACTCCCCCAAATGGATGTATAGTTTCCAAATGAACAGAGCATCATTTTTTTAACTCTTCTTCTATTGCTGGTAGTTGAGATGCTTCTGAGATTGCATTGACAGATTGGTCTCTAATAAGTTGTGTGTTGTTGCTTTTTACCAACTGCTAGAGACAGAGAGAGATGATTGAGTTGGAGCATGAGAGAGAATTAGCGATGATGGAGCAGGAAATCCTGGAGCGACTCAAAGCAGAAGAACTCTTGTTTCAGCAGGTGAGAAAAGAGCTCAAATGTGACTGAAGTTAACAGTGTCCCCCTTGGTGTGGTACAACCCACAGCCTGAAATACTCCCTGGCTCTGGTCACTTAGACATTTCTCCCTAGTATCCCCATCCTTCTCTGGTGTAGAGGCAGTGCCATGAGGTAAATGGACAACCCAGGGAGTATATTATTGTGGAAGCCAATGGGACAATAGTCAACAGCACCACTGCTGAGCTGGTGCTCATTCAAAGCCCAGACAATCATTCCAGGAACAGTGGTGAGGGTGGGGTATAGTGGATAAGAAAGGGGATGGCGAGTGAGCATTATGCTTTCAGGGAGTTTGTGAGGGCAAAGGCAATGGGTTTTGTTTTGATTTAGGAACACATGGAGCACAATGTGTGACATTAGAAAAATAGAAAAAAATGATCTAGAACCTTCTGTCCACATTAATAAGAGAAAATGGGTCTGGAAAACAAGTGGACGAGTCCTTTTATTGGAGCTCGGAGACAAAGCATAGGTGGCCTAGGTATAGGTGGGTGTATTGTCTTGTGATGTAAAGTTGAAAGCTGACTCGGTGTGACTGTTTCTATCTTCTTTAGAATCAACCATGACCACACACTTAAGAATCAAGTAATGATTTTTTAATTCAGCTGTCCATTCTTGGCTGTGTATATATGGCTTCATCTTAACATCCCGTTCTTCTCCACATCCCTCTGTCAAATGCCAGTTTACTATTGCGAGGCGTGAGCTTAGTTACTCTTCAAGAATAACTGTTTCAGCTGCTGTTCCATTGCACATCAGAAGCCATCGGCCCACTGCCTATTCAGCTGCCTTCGAAGAAAAGGGCATAATTTAAAATCCTGAGTCATGACATGACACTAGTGGAATTCAGGTGTTTCTGGTACATGGACTGCTCTCACCCAATGTGAGGTTGAACTGTCGACCTTGTGTACATCCTACCTCACAAATGAGTCTGTCAGATATGCTAAGCCTATAGGCTGAAGATGATGCCCCAACACTGTGGAGAAACCTCAGGTGACTGTCCAGGCAGCTGGCTGTTTCTGTCAACTCACAAATTTTTTGGAAGTTGCTTGCATGCACTTTCTGTTTTTATTTTTGTTAGCTAATATTATTTCCTTCTTGGGTCTCTGAGGGAGTTGAAGATTAGTTATAGTTGAAGGTTAGTTAGTTATAGTTGAAGATTAATTAGGATAGAAAGTGAATTAGATACATTTTGGACTTAACAAAATAGGATAGATAATGAAATTATTTTCTCTGAATTTGTCAAATACAAATGGACTAGACATTGTTTAGACATTTATTACTTGTATATATTGTATATAGTCATTGTACTTTTGTATATAATTTTTCTTTTGTTAGTTATAACCTTTTTCTTTTTTTTCCTTTTTATTAAAATAGAAAAGGGGAAAAAAAATAAATAAATTTTAAGATTGGAAAAAAAAAAAAAAAAAAAAAAAAAAAAAAAAAAAAAAAAAAAAAAAAAAAAAAAAAAAAAAAAAAAAGAATCAAGTAATGAGGTAGGAGGGATGGAAAGAATGATGAAAGTTTGAAATAATACCTTAGGAGAATGGAAGAGTGGGTTGACCAAACTTTATGTGTTGAACATCTCTAACTTAAAAAAAATCTAAAAATGTTTCTAAACATGAAAATTTTTGTGTGCTTACATGGTGTCAAGGAGTGGAAAATATCAGTGTTAACTTTGTTTCACATAAAAAATATTAAAATATGGTATATGTTTACTTTCAGGTAGAAGGTAAAATAGAATTGAATTTCATGTTTAGTCTTGGGTGCCACACATAAGGCATCTTATTACAGATATGTAAATATCTAAAAAATATGAGATCTGAGCCACTTCTGGTCCTAAGCATTTCTGAAACAAGATACTCAATCTGGACGATGTAGCATTTGGAGACCAAACATTCATAACAGTGCTATCCACTGGACCTGTCCTTCTCTACTGCTGATTTATCTCTACTGAAGAGAAGCAGGAAGTCTCAGATGTTCTCTGTCCCTGAGACAATGGGTTCACTATGGAAATAGACTTCACTTTCTTTGTTGCATCTACTTCACCCTACTGGAATAAAATTTAGTTACACTAGAAATTAGACATTTGCCTAGCCATGTTAGCCAGCAAAGCTGATCTGCTGTGTGTTGAACCCAAAGCATTTCATTTGCAGTGGGTGTGGAATGTATGGTAACATTCTACAGGTGATGTTATGGCTAACTAAAGAAGTGGATTGGGGGTCAGAAGTAGATGGGAGAAGGGGAGCTGAACCAAAAGGGCTTAACAGGGAGTGGGTTAAGATGAGAAGCAGTTGAGTGTTCTCTTGTGCTCTCAGAAGTGTCTGAGTTGGAGGCTGAGGATTTGGCTTCTTCTTTGAGGTCATTTCCAACTCAGCACTGATGCTTTCAAGGAGTAACTTGTGGGCACATTGGGAACATTCCTAAAAATAAGCCAGAGAAAAATCTGGGTACATCCCTATAATTCCTGCCCTGGGAAGGCAGAGGCAGGAGAATCTGAAGTTCCAGGCCAGCCTGGGTTACATAGTGAGACTCTGTCAAAAAATAAAATAAAGAAAGCAAACAAAAAACAACAACAGCTGAGAGATAACTCTCAAAAGCATTTGACTTGTTTTTAGTGGACACCAGTGTCAACAAATTGATCAATGAATGAAAAAAAAAGGAACAAAAGAAAAAAAAAGAAGGACATTACTGATCCTAGGTATGGTGGAAGAGAAAGTTTAAAGGTAGAGTATAGTCAGAGGCAGGGACATCAGTGAGAGTCTGGAGTGAACATGACCCTGAGCTGGGCCATGTGAGGAGAGGGAGAAGGGGAGAGCCAGGAGAGTAGAGGGTAGACAAAAAAGGCCTGGTAACCAAAATGTCTGAATTATATAGAGAAGGGCAGCTGGAGGAAGGGCACCCCACCCTGGGCTAGAAAAATTTAGAGTAGGGGGTGGGGTATGCCAGCCATACTCTCTAACAGGTAGGGAATGAGGGATGCTGAGAGAACCTGGTGGCCCAGTCCACTTTGACATGTTAGCCATTTGTCTCAGGTTTGAGACCTAACATCCAGCTTTCTCACTAAAAGTCCAACAATCTAAAAAGACTAATTTTGCAGGGGGACACATATCTTTGAGTATGTAAATCAACACTGTTCAAATTAACTCACATTGGCAAATGTCATTCCTCACTTTGAGAACAAATAAATTACTTAGATACTTAATATTTTTGCAAGCTTGTTTTAATTTTTTTGAAGAAATTCTGCAGTGATAAGAGGAATCAATCTTAAATTTTCTATCTTTAACATTTGCTTTCTTTTTTAAATTTGAAATATCATTGTGAGGGTGTATGTGTGTGTGGTTTATGCAGGGATGGGAAGCAGAACACGTGCACACCATGGCCCATGCGTGGAGGTCAGAGGGCAGCTTTGTGGGGTTGGTCCTCTTCGTCTTCTCTTACAGAGGTTATGGGGATGTAACTCAGGTTGTAAGGCTCACCAACAAGTGCTTTTACCCACTTAGCTGTCTGATGACCCTTAACCTTTGCTTTCAGTGTGAGTTAAGACTATTGTGACATGTGCATCATCTGTGAATGATGTTTGTTGCATTCTTTTAGTGCAGTGTCATTATATTGAACAAAACAAAATTGCATTTTGCTGTTGAGGTAAAAAACCTTGCATGCCCCATTTTGTCTTTAAAGTGTGTCAGTCAACAGCCATGTCTTCTTTTATTACTGTTTGTTTCTTTGTGACAAGGTCTCAATGTATCAGCCCAAATCAGCCTCCAACATTAGATTCTCCTGTCTTAAGTTCTTAAAAGCTGGAACTACAAGTGTGTGTCACCTGCATCCAGCTCCTTTGTTTTCGTGATGGTATCAATTTTTTAATTGCCACAGCATAGTGATATCATGACACTCCAAACACTATTGGTGCGCAGTGTTATCTGATTTGTAGTGCCACCGTGGCACCACATGTGACCTTTTATAATGACTGCTTTGCTCTTTTGTTGCCATCGAAAAGCAGTCATAGACAATTCACAATCGAATGAACCTAGCTGCATATCAACAAAACTTTATTTACAGGTCCTGGAACTTGGATGTTATATAACTTTCATATATCATTATTCTTTTGATTTCATTTTCCCTCAACCATTGCAGAATGTACATGATATTCTTGGCTTCTGAGCTGCACCCAAACAGGAGTTGTATCCCATTTGGTCGACAGGCTTTATTGCTGACATCTATTCTAGTGTGACATGCATGCTGCATTAGAACCAAGCATACTGTTAATCAGCGGTGTTTACAGATACACACTTTCATGGTCATCAGACTGTTCTCACTCACTGCTTTGCATCCAAGAGTTGGTTCTCTCCCAGCCAAACTTATAAAGATCTCATCTCAGAAAAATCACCCTAGTCTTATTTGTAGTTTTAAGAACAAAAGAGACATAACTTGACTCTGTATCTACCACTTCCTACTTTTGGCAATTAAAGAAATGCCCTTTTTTATGCTTAAGGAAATCAATCATTGTAGAAGCTGAGTATTATTTGAATATATTCATTTTTCTAGTTTTCCAAAAATTTAGTTGGGGACTTAAAAGTGACACATAAGCAGGTGTGGTGGTTCCAGGAATGTCAGCACTAGAGAGGTGGAGGCAAGAGGGTCCTTACGAGTTAGAATCCCATCTGGGCTACATAAGTAAGACCTGTCTAAAACAAACAAACAAACACACACACAAAGAGTGGTAGGGTTGATGTCTAGCTATTGTTCTCTTATCATTGCCGTATGATTTAAATACTTGTGATTCTTCAGCAGCAGCTGGCATTCCAACTGGAATTGGAAATGCAAGAAAAAGAGAAGCAGGAGACAGAAGAACTCCAGAGAACTCAACAGGAATTAAATAAGGTAATCTGAAGTCGAGTGTTTGCTCCTTAGATGCGTCTAGACTCTTCAGGCTCTTTCTTCCAGCCATGCCAGCAGACGGATGCAGAACCCAGACACCTGTTCTGTGGGATTTCAAGCCTCAGCCTTTCTGTCTGCTCCCCTGTTTCACAGCAGTGGTTGCAGCACATATAGGCATCAGCAGGGAGTCACACGTGTGCCTTCTTGAGCCACAAGGGCCTCTAGAGGAAGACTGTCAATGGTTTTTTCAGGAGACAGCTGTTGTTAATTATGTTGGCTGATTTGAAGGTATTTGGATGGATGAGACAGCAGTGTGTTGCTTTTCTTCATGTTAGATATACCAAGAAAAGAATTTACATTTTAAAAATCTGTTCTTAGGTTGATTTTCATGTCCCTTATGAAAATAAACAGTGCAGTGACTTAGTTGAAAAAAAGCCAATTTTCATTGGTAATATGGATATAGGGTCAAATCTCTAGTTTAGCCAATATTTCATGATATCCTGAAAATGTGTGCCATCTAGGCCTGATTTCTGAATGATTGTATTTATGGCTACTATCTCCCCTACCCAACTGCAACTCCCTTTATTGAATCCATAATTAAAACTGAAATCAGAAGCAAATTTTATCAAATATATTTGATATGTTTATTAGTGGGTTAGATGAGAAAAACCATTATTTGAAACGTTTCATTTTTTTTTTTTTTTTTGCCGAGATAGGATTTTTCTGTGTAGCTCCAGCTGTCCTAGAACTCACTACATAGAACTCAGAGATCCACCTATCTCTCCCTCTGAGTGCTGGGATTAAAGATATTTCTTTAGAGACGTATAGGTGATGAATTGAATAAAAAGTGAGATAATGAAGGATAAATTCAAATATTTGTGCCTAGTTTTAACATCTAGATACTTATGTTAGCTTGTGCAAAAGGAGCATTTGTTGAGTATGTATATAAGCTCGCACAAATATTAACACACCAGAGGGTCACACCCTTGTCTTCAGATAGCAAGCCTATGTGACCTGGAGTCAACACAACGTTTGTACTTCATGTCCACATTGACTTAGTGTTGCTCATCTCGACCCTGGAAAGTATCCCTGTCTCGCTCACTATTCAGACTCTATTCATGTCCCTTGCTCTGGCCTATAGACACACAGTGTAAGCTATCATTCTCCAACATATTTGAAGAATCCTGAGTTGAATAGGGGCTGGATTCTGGGATGTTTGCCTCAGACCCTTGGGAGTAAGAGAGTCAAGAGCTAACAGTTTTCCCTGCTGTGGCCTGATACTGATTTCAGCCTTCCTCCTGGTGCTTTTGTTTGTGGCAAAGGATGAGGAACTTGAATCCTATTGGGTTCTGGAGAGTCACATGTTGTAGCTCTCACCATGGTGAAGGAACAGATTTATTTTCTGGTTTTAGTTAAAAGAACTAGGGGAAAGGTTAGTGTCAAATATTCATCCTTATGGTTTCAGGTTGTGGTCCTTTAAGAATATAAACTGCCTGGGGCTACTGTGTGAATTCAGGATAAGAACTTCCTAGAGAAGCCAGTATAGTGGTGCACACCTTTGATCCTAGCATTCACGAGGCAGAGGTAGGAGAATCTCTGTGAGTTCAAGGCCAGCTTGGTTTCATAGCAAGCGTTGGTCCAGCCAGGACTACATAGTGAAACCCTGTCTCCAAAACCAAAACCAAATAAATAAAAGAACTTTCTAGAAAAAATAAAATGATCTTTCCCAAAGAGTACCACATATATCCCTGTAATTAGGGTGGCCATATGTACAGACACAAGATGAGGAATCTTCCAACGGCCAAAATGCTTCATCCCAGTATGAGTCATATGACTTTGCTGAATGGTCATACTGATGAAAAGATGGATACCATAGTGAGTTGGTTTACTTAAAAGAATATCTTCTCATTCAGGAGTAGTGTCCTATGCTGAGTGGAACATTTTCCCTGCAGCATATGAGTGTTGTTAAGGACCTATGGAGATCACTTGGGAATTGGAGAGTAACTTGGGCATGGTTAATTCATTTAGGATTATACATTCCTTTCTTCCTATATATAAAGCCCAACTTCAAGCTCTCTTTAAAAATGTCATATTCTAAGACATTACTGTAATGTTGCTTTACATAGTTGCTAGAATTTTTCCTTCAATTTTAATGTTTCATTCAGTCCATTTTTAAAATTCATAATATTTTTATTGTCTTAGAAAATTTCATACAATGTATCTTTTTATACATTTTCCTTTTACTTTTGAGATTGTAATGCAATTATATCATTTCTCTATTTCCTTTCATCCCACCAAGCCTTCCCTTGCTTTCTTTCAAATTCATGGCCTCTTTTTTCATTATTTACTGTTACATGCATATATGTATATATACTCTAAATATAACCTGCTCTGTCTGCATAATGTTACTTTTGTATATGTTTTCAGGTCTGACCATTTAGCATTGGACAACCAATTAGTGTGCTTTTCCCTGGGGAAGAATATTTATTTCTTCTATTCTCAGCATTCCTGAGTTGCCTGCAGTTCTTTGTTTGGTGTTGAGGTCTCATGGGCTTTCTTCTATCTAGTTTGACATGTCTATTATTGCCCTTGTTCAAATCATGTTTATGCAGTCATGCTAGTGAGACTTTATGGTGTAACTTCTGACATTACTAGGAGACACAGTCTCATAGCAACCCCCCTAATCCTCTGGTTCATACAATCTTTCCATCCCCTCTTCCATGTCCCCTGAGCCTTAGGTGCAGGAGGTGTTTTATAAATGTGTACACTGAAGCTGGATCATTATCCACTGGCTCCTCCTGTCTCTTCTAAAGGACTATTTATAAAAATGCCAAGGGGTGGAGCAAAAGACCTCCCCCTAGCTCAGCCAAGCGTAGACCCCTCCAATTATCCAGAAACCATGCACATGGTCAAACAATCCTCTAATGCAGCTCTGCTGGGTAAAGCAAGCTCAGATCTTACTAAGAAACCTTTGTGGGCCTCTATAATTCCCCTTCTTGATATAAAATAGGGCCCCCCAGACCTCTTAGATAGACTGTGCCTGCATTAGGTTATCCTTCTTGATTAATTTTACATTCATACATTCGGGGAGTTATCAAGAAGAAAGTTGCCCATCTTTGGCTACTAGCCTCTAGCAGGAGGCAGTACAGAGCTTAACTCAGCTCTGGCCCTGGTTCCTACTGAGCTTGCAAACATCCACAGTGATCTCCACAGCTTTCACAGTGCCCAGTAAAGGATAATAAAGATGGAATATCCTTATTGGAATGAGTCTAAGGTGATTACAGCAGTCTTAGCTGCACCAAGCCTTTTCCCCAGTTGTTCAATAAAACTTTTTTTTTTTTTTGTTTTTTCGAGACAGGGTTTCTCTGTTTAGCTTTGGAGCCTGTCCTGGATCTCACTTTGTAGACCAGACTGTACTCGAACTCACAAAGATTCACCTGGCTCTGCCTCCCAAGTGCTGGGATTAAAGGCGTGCGCCACCACTGCCCAGCATTGTGATTTTGTCTTTTTTTTTTCAGAGCTGAGGACCAAACCCAAGGCCTTGCACTTGCTAGGCAAGTGCTCTACCACTGAGCTAAATCCCCAAACCCTCAATAAAACTTTTAAGAGATGATTTTGATTCCCAGGAGAAAATAGCCATTTCAAATCATTTCAAAGTATCCACTCAAGTAACCAAAAACCCATGCTGATTATAAAAACACTTCTAGCTGTTTAGTACCTCATCTATACATGTGTCCCTAGCACAGCAGTAGAATTTCTGTATAACTCGATTGTGGGAGGCTTGCCCCTTTGCAGGAGGCCTACTGCTTTCTAAACAGAAACAGACAGAGTGGAAACTTTTTGGAAAAAGACAGAAAAGCTCCCCTAATTATAACACCTTAAGTTTTCCAGGGGCCACTGAGATCATAAAAATTATGTTTTAAGCTATCATATAAAGTATTCAAATATATCTGAAGGTAAAAGAGTAATAAAAATTTCAAGATGCTTCTAATGTGATTGATTTGGTTTATCTTTTAAAAATTAATGTTATCTACTTTGTCCAGACTAGACAGATGTTGAATTGATGAAATAATAAAAACAATTCTAGTATGAACTTACATTTAACATTTATATTTTCAACATTTACACTTTTTATAGACTTACAGTCAACATTTAGACTTACATTCAACATTTACACTTTTTATAAACTTATATTCAAAAGGAAACTATAGGACTATTTTACAAACTTTAGCACATATCTAGAAGAGATTTCTTAGAAGAACTATTTACCAAACTTATATTCAAAAAGAAACTCTATAGAACTATTTTATAAACTTTAGCAAACATCTAGGAAGAATCTCTTAACAGAACTAACTTATTTTCTTTCAGCAAGACAGACAGTATGCAAATCATGAGTTACCATAGTAAAATTATAAGTGAACTCAATAGTGCTTTATTTCTGAAAGTTCAGAGTTCATGGTCAGCTTTAATATCATTCTGAAAGTTATTCCAGTTCTTCTGGAGGAGCATCATTGGAGCTGACATTTCTCTCTTCCACACATCATATCAAACTCAGGCAGCCAGTAAGCTTCTGAGGGGACAATTTCCCCTTCTTAATTTTTTAAAGCCATGGGTTCTTTACACTATACCTTGTCCTTGAAGACTATAAGAAATGCCTGTTTTATATTCACTTTACCATTGTGCTTTTTCATAGCAAATAATTCCCACCTGACAGGCAAACTGTTTACCTGTTTCTCATTCCCAGGAGGCAAGTTAACAAAGCTTGTGGAAAAAAAAATAGCATTTTGAGCTTAAAAACCACTGAAAACACAGAGTATTTGGACAGTGCAGTACCAGTATCTCTTTTATGGACTACATTTCCCAAACTGCCTTTCTCTATATGGTCACACTGTTATGAACAAACAGCATTTCTGGGTCTAGGAGAAAACTTCTGTTCACATGGTCTATAGTCAAGCTTTTTTTTTTTTTTTTTGAGACAGGGTTTCTCTGTGTAGCTTTGCACT